GGGTTTAGAGATGTATTTCATGAGCTGAATGTTCTCGCTGTTGTTTTGTCGTCGGGCCTGCAGCTATTATATGCTTTATGCGTATTTGCTTAGGGTGGGCAGCTGAGGTTATGTTATCTAACTTTCAAAAGCTTTCAGATCATGCATTGTCTCTGAACTCCCGACGTCCTCCTCTGTTTTGACTGGTTGTTAAGGATGAAAAACGGCTGGATTAAAAATCGAGCGGGTTGCATTTGCAGCAGTACGGGTGAGATCACCGTGACGTCAGTGTGTTCTGCTGTTGTGATTGGCAGGTGATAGAGCAGCACGTGGACGGACGCTGGAAGGGCCACATTCATGACACCCAGAGGGGAACAGACAGAATTGGCTACTTCCCCCCCTCCATAGTCGAGGTCATCAGCCGACGCTCAGGTACAATAATAACTTGAATTGTAGCAGGTTGACCAAAGTTTTGAAGCTTCACAGCCCGTGATCGCTATATGTTTTCATTTGATGGATTTTATTACAGCCATTAACCCTGCAAATAACATTGTTTCCTTTACTGAATCAGTAACATGCTGACAGATGTTACCTAGACGTGTCTCTTTCTTCCATCCCGCTGCTTCCCATGTAATAAATGTTAATCTCTAACCTCCATCCGCTTGCATTAACCCTCTGCTCCTGTCATGTGTGTGTTGTCCTGTAGGGGGCACCCTGTCACGACACGCCTCTCTGCCCACCCATAGGCAGCAGCTGCTCTCCAGGTCCGCCCTCAGTCCCAGCTTGAGTCTGAGCGGGGGCGGGACCCCTCAAACTGACGACTCCTACACTCTGTACACCGCTAACCCACACTTGGTCCTCCCACACTCCAACGGTCTGAGCACCAACCCAGGTATACCCACTCGGTCCCATCTCTAAGGGTGCTTTCTCACACGTTTCCACCTGGTATTAAGATGTTTTCAGTGATCCAATTACAAATGTGTCAGCTGAGACTCATACTTTTTCCACCTGGCTTTAAAATGGATCTCCTGTGACCGCGGATTTTCTTGAGACACCATTTCGTCACGCTGTACATCACTTTTGCGGGAGTGCTAAATGTGTTATATGAATACTGTTGACTGAACGATCCAATGTTAGGTGGTTTACAAGTTATTGGGAAAGGAAGCAAATAAAAAGGATCTAGAAAGCAGCTGCGATTTCAGTTTTGTTTTGGTACAACACAGCAGAGTTTGGTGGTTTTCTTACAACACGTCCAACAGTATTAGGTCAGTAAGGCTGTTTAAATGCATTCAAACATATAAGCTTCTACACTATAAAAGCAAAAAGGTTAAATGCTTTTTTGACTATTTCTTCACGTGGTTGAACGTGGATAAGCTTAAAACCTTTTAGACCCCAATTATGCATGTATTTAATGTTGTCCACTTGTGATCGGATCGGCGAAAACACATCTTAATACCAGGTGCAAACAAGGCCTAAAGCTATTGATGCGAACCTGAGTGTTTAATGTCAGAGATCAGTTTGTTCTGAGAGCACTTTTCTGAACTCTGTTGCACACCAGTGACTGGTATGTATATGGTACACGTTTGTTACGTGGTCTCGTGGTCTCACGCTATTTCACCATGGTTATGAACGCAATATGTGTGCATTCAAAATGGACCATTCGCCAATTAACATTTGAACATTTGCAGGGTAATGAATGGTTTAAACCCCTCCTCAGCTAACACACGGTCGATTTTGTGTTTGCAGACATGACGTAAACATGCACTATCGAATGATGCAAGCCTGCAACTTCCCTCCAAATCTGACATAACTCATAACGTAAATAAAACCTGTAGGCTTACCATAGTGAAACAGGATAGGACAAGAACCTGGTTTTGAACCACAGATTTGTTGCTATTTTATGTAATTTGTTCATTCTTAACCACTGCTAATGCAGTGCAATTCTAGTGCAGCTTTAAATGTTTATACTCGCATGTCATTAGATCCTTAAAAACAGTTCCTTGGCTTTTAATATGGGTTGGCAGTTTGACCAAAATCTTATATACAGTAACAATTGCGATTAAGATCACAAATTTTTTATTTTTGCTTAAATAAATGGTATTATATATTAAATAACCATGTTGTATTGCTGTTTTGAATTAAGTACTTCACTTATTTTCTAGATGTAAACAGGGTTCCCACTCTTTCATGAACACCAGATTCAAGGACTTTTTAAAGCACTATTTATTTAATTTCAAGCACCTATCAAGTTCACACCCCAGCATATGAAGCATCATGAAAGACCTGTTACAGTACTTAACTTTTCACTTACACTTAACATTTACATAAAACATTTCAGAGTAATGAGGTTTTGAATGTGTTGGTTTCAAGCCACCACTTTGAGCAGTCGTGTTCAAAGGAATTTAATTAAATCCATTGAAGTCAATGGAGTTCACACTGGTAATATTCAAATACAAAATATATATTCTTGCATCAAACTGGTTTTTGCTGTAATTCTTGTAAAAGATTTAAATTCGAGAGATTTTCTCAATTTTTAAATGAATAAAAAGTAATTAAACAGGGCTCTGTGCGTACTTTAATTAAAAAATTTAAAAAAAATTTAGGAGCACAGTCAAAAATTTCAGGAGCACCTTCTAATCAATAATCAAAAATTCTGATCAAATATTAGCCTTCCCATTACGAGATGATATTTGACTCCTTAAAGTGATTTACAGGGAATTTAGTTTTTACACCTTTGTAATGGCATTTTTCTAACTTTATTAAAAATGTAATCTTTTATGTCAAATTCAAAAGAAATTATATTTATAAGCTTTTTAAAATTTCTAATTAAAACAACAGAATAAACTCAAGTAGAATAAGAATAAGTTACTAATCAAATAAAATAATTATTAAAAAAAAATAATTTGTACCACAGAGGTGGCACAGAAGAACACAAAAGTGGCTTGTAGGTGTATTTTAAGATGTTTAATGAAGCTCAGAGGTGGCATGAGTGGAATTAAATTCATGTTAAAGTTAATATTTTAAATATAACATTTTGAATATAGAAATATTAAACAAATTAAATAACAGAAAAGATCCTTTAAAAATGAAAGTAAAACTGCCAGTAGGTGGCGGCAAATCATTGAGTTTATCACTGAATCATTCATTCAATTGATTCGTTCGAACGACTAATTAATTCAGGAATGAAGCAGGTGACTGGCTTTATGAATGGATAATTGATTCAGATTTGTTTAAAAACGCACTTTCATTCATAAACGAAACACCGCTGTGTTTGCTTGGAAATGCGCAGCGGCTCAGCTGTGACTTTGTTTGAAACTATTTTCGTTGATGAAATAGAGCAAAATCAGGCAATAGTGTTGTAGTCAGACAATGCAAGTCACTTAATATTAATTTCTTATTTAATGAACTGTTGTATTAAATCAATATCACATTTGCAAACTTCCTTAATAATCATTAAAAGCTGTCACTCACTCATCGCAATCTCACAAAGTTCCATTATAATCGATGAAGCTCCCTACAATCACAATGAATCTCTTATTTACACCGTCAACACTTAGTTTACAATAATGGGAGGATTCGTGAGATTGCAGAACTCAGCACTGAACAAAACTCAGGTGTTTGAGCAGTGAGTGGATTCTGATTAACATTGTGTTCAAGGAATCAACAGATTTGTCTGTGATGCATTACTCAACACAGCAAAAGCACGTTGTAAATAAGTTAGAAACCTTTGAAGCTCCCCTGAGCGCAAACACAAATATGCTGATCGGGTCAGTCGCACTGGTGCTCCTAAATATTTTTTTTCAAAGTTGCACGCAGTAATTTTCATTCGCAAATGCACTGCTTCTCCATAGGTTCATGCAGGGCTGCGCATCAGCTCACGCTAAGTTTTTTTCTCGTGCTACCCTATCTCAACCCCCAATCATTAGCGCAGTTTCGTTTTGTCTTTGAATGCCCACACTGCATATAGGACAATTTTTGAAAAAGCACCATTCTAATAAACTAAATTTATTTCAAATGTAAGCACTTTGAAGGACTTATATTTGTTTTCAAGTACTTTCCAGGCCTTGAATCCATGCGTCTGACATTCAAGTACTTTCAAGAAGCGTGGGAACCCTGTGTAAACCAAAAGATTTAGAATTATATTATTAGTCATTGGCAGTTGGGGCGAACGGTTGATTATGGACCCTGGGTGGGCTCATGGTTCTTCTGTGCGACAGATATAGTTGAAATACTGTCTTTGCATATAAACACCATGCAGTGGCGCACACTCATCTGAATCCCCTGATTGGTGATGCACACACCCTTACATTATCCGCCCACAAGACTGAGGCCAATGGCCCAAAAAGTGTTTGTGTCCGCTAGGTGGGCCTCCCAGCAGTCTGTCCCAGCACATGACCCCCAGCATGGAGGACGTGTGGGTTTTGCGGAACTCCTGCGCTGGTAAGAACCGCTGCACTCCCCTGCGCCCCCTACTGGCTGTCACCCTCTCCCTGCTGCAGACAGACCCTCTGATTGGCTGGCCTGTCGGGACACCACACAGACCCAGCTGGTGTGTCCGTCTCCAGATGTTAGCGTACTGCGAACCCTCTCGCTCCCGCAGCAGAACGTACTGTAGGTTGTGTGCTGTCATCTGTAAACCCCATCACCACATGCCTGTGGCTTTGCCCTGCTACCCCCTACCCCATCCTGCCTGCTGCTTGAGTATAAATCCAGCCCCTTGGCACAGTGGGTACAGTGTCCTCACAGCTGTGGGGTGGCACACTGGCATGGCAGTGCAGACGGCTGCAGTGATGGCATAATCGCGGTCATGTTATGATTGCATTGACTCACTGGACTAACGCCTCTATCTCTCTCGCAGCTGGGGACAGGAACAGTGTGGGCAGCACTGGCAGTGTGGGCAGCACCCGCAGTGCAGGCAGTGGCCAGAGCACAGAAAGCAACAGCGCCCCCAATGGACCACAGCAACACACCACCAGCCCTGACACCAGCAAGGTAACCATTCGTTGTGTTCATTCACAGGCATGATGCTTTGTAAGAAATACAACTTAAAGAGTTCCCATTTAGAAATACCAGGGAAAATGTGATTTCCATGTCTGTTTCTGTAGTAGATAAACATTTTTCTAATGATGATGTTATTAAAAATTTGAACCTTTATGAAATATATATAGGGACTACAGATGAAAAGTAGTTATTGTTACTAATTCTGGCATATTTACATGGTGTATATTTATACAACAATGTTCATGAATATGCATGGTCCCTATTAAATAAACCAATAAATAAATAAATATTAAGTCATGGTCTTATGACGGGTGCTTTTAGAGGTAGTGAGCGATAATGAAATGTCTTCATTTGAATAAAGAGAAATTAGATTGAAATGGTACATTTTGGTTAAGAACATTCTGGTGATCATCTCGAAGTGCTAATGTTGCTATTTTAGCAGGTAAAATGTTTTGTTCCATGTATAAAGAATTTGTGTTTTGTCTCATTTAAGACATTTTTATACTACTAGCTATAATGTTTCAATTAAATCCAAGGATTCATACCTGACATGTAGAAGAAAATTCGGCACATCACAGCTCCAAAAAACTATTTAAAAAAAAAACTGTTCCTTAAATTCCAACTTTGCAATGTTTCGAAGTCCACAACTCTTCATCAGACCATAATGGACCTGTTTCCTGTTATTTTAGTTAAACTTTTTTAGCTTCAGGCACACATTTGTCGTTCCAATGTGAACTAAAGTTTTATAGCTAAGGTTTCTTCTGATTTTCATTTCATTTTAAACAGGCAACGCCCTCTGCTGTGGATTTACTACAGCCAGATCATAACAAACTTCCAGACACATCCACAGGTAAAGAGTTACCTGTGCCATATTTACTGTTTGTATCTGTTTACGGTTACAGCTTACGGTGACAGTATTTGGACACATAAAATGTATGAAAGTTACTGCAATGGTTTACAAAATATCAAACCAAGTTCCTCTGATAGGACACCTGTGTGAACTTGAGTTATAACGGACTTCATACATCAACTTAAAACTGGCAAAACACTAGCTAATTCAAAGACATTGAAAATGCTCTCATGTATTAACATGAGTATGTGTGGTGTTGTTTTGAAGGAGTTCCTCACAGACCTGTGCTGCCCACACAGAGGCCAGGAGAGCAGGGTTTCTCTCAACAGTTTGTGCGTCCTCAACAGCTGCTGGAGGGCAAGGTCAGAAAACACTATTACAGTTAATGCATAGCTGGCAAATACATTTTGTAATGTTGTTGTAAGTTGTATTAAAACTTTATGAAAATACTGACATCAAAATGTTGATTATATAATTATACCACACCATTATACCATTAGTATACAAGTACACTAATAATAAATGTGAGTATAAGAACATACAACTCTTAATTAAGCCCAAAAATTTGATTATATAAAATATGTCATATAAAAAACATAATACAATTAGAGAAGCCGCATTTTATAAAAAGTGTCATACAACAGCAGTTGTATCCTGCATTCTGTTTGCTTCCTGTCATGTCGTATATCTTCATGTCTTTTATCATTGTCAGGATGCTGAGGCCATCTATCAGTGGCTTAGTGAGTTTCAGTTGGAGCAGTACACTGCTAATTTCCTCAACGCTGGCTATGACGTACCTACCATCAGCAGAATGACCCCAGAGGTACGATCAGAGCGCCAGTGTTTGGTTGCTTTAAGAAGTGCCACTCACTCTTGTTGCTGCAGATAGAGATTTTGATTAAGTATTATACCATTTTTCAGGATCTCACGGCTATTGGTGTGACTAAACCAGGACACCGTAAGAAGATTTCTCTTGAGATCGGCAACCTCAGCATTCCAGAATGGCTCCCAGAGTACATACCGGTAAGTCACTACTCGCTATAGTATGCATATACGTGTGTCTATGGTGTTGTCTTCAGTTCACTCACAATTAAAAACTTATCTCTTAGCAGGATCTTGGGGAGTGGCTGAGCGCCATAGGTCTGCCACAGTATAATAAGAAACTCTCAGAGAACGGCTATGACTCGATAAACATTGTCCGAGATCTCACATGGGAAGACTTGCAGGAGATTGGCATCACCAAACTAGGTGAGTTTAAAAGAAACACTGAATTAAGTACTCTGTGGTGGTTGTAGTTATAGGGTTAACAAAACCAAAGAAAAGCTAGGAATAATTGGAAATTAAAAAATTGTGTGTTCTTGTTATTGTAACGGAGGCCAGATAGTAAGAGCTATGGAAAACCAGTCGCACTAGCTAATGACGCTAGTGGCTGTGGTCTTTAGCATCCTTGTTAGCGCACCTGCTTCCCATGTCAGAAATGCCGGCTCAAATCCCACATGGAGCAGTAGAGCCGGAGAGGTTAAATTGGTGCCGTGACCCGGATGGGAGTGACGTTTAAGTGGTGAGTGTAATGGAGGCCGGCTTGTAAGAGCTATGAAGGTAGAACTCACTCCCCTGATCTCAAGAGGTGCACTAGAGACTGACGCTAAAGGCTGTAGTCTTGTTAACATGCCTGCCTCCCATGCCGGAAATCTTGAATCCCGCTCGGAGGAGGGCGAGTAGAACCAGAGGGTGGGGGACTTGAACATTTTTGTTGGCTAAATATTGCTCTTGTGTACAACTAAACCTGCTTTCAAACTAAAGCAAGCATGATATGTAAGAAAATCATTCTTTTGAATTGATTATTTTAAATAAGTAGGTTCACACTTTTGAATTGATTATTTTAAATAAGTAGGTTCACACTGGTTTGGATGAATCATTATTAGAACAGAATTTGAATGATTGTTTAAAAACCTTCATCCTTTGGTCATTAACGATTGACATCTTATTATATTTAAAGTTCATCAATCTTTTATAAGTATTTTGTTACCCTTTTCACAACCATTTGGCATTAAACATTGTAGCAATGTTTTTTCAATGTTGAAATGAGAAATGTTATTATTTAAACCCCATTTCAACATTGAAGGCCAATCACATTTCCCCTGGGCAGCTCTTCCAATTTTTGTTCTTACTTGCCATGACCTTGACAAGGACATTTTCATTTTTATTCTTCTGGTATGATTTTGGGTAGTCTTTCCTACAGATAAATCTGATTGGTCTAAAGTCCTTTTCCAAATTACTGTATATTCAGCATCAAATATACCGTGAGATTGTGCAGGGATATGCAACATTCTCACCTTGTTGTATCATGCTTTCTAGGACATAGTGTACATTTTCTATATATCCTGTGAAGCAAATCCTGTTTTGTTAAATTCTTGTGTGACATGTAGAGTAAGTGTTAAATCAGTGTATGTGTGTGTGTGTGTGTGTCTCTGACAGGCCATCAGAAAAAAATGATGCTTGCGGTGAAGAGGTTGTGCGATATTCATAAGGCTATTATGCAGGCAGAATCAGGGCAGAGCACACTGCGGCGCAAAACCCCCACGGCCCTGGACCTGGTCACTATTGAGCCGCCTCCTGAGAGCGGCGACCTCCCCTCACCCCACACGCCCAAGATGATGACTTTCCAGGACAGTGAGCTGAGTACTGAGCTACAAAGTGCCATGTCCTCCCACTACAGTGGCTGTCAGGATGGACTGGCCATCAAGAACGCAGTAGGTATGTCCTCCAGTCAGGAGAGCATTGACACACGCTCTCGAGGCTCCGGACGCTCTCAGGAGCCCCCCAGCACCCCCTCCTCCACTTCCGCTGCGACCCCTTATAGCCTCTCCCGAGAGAGCTTAACGAGCCCAGACAGCAGTCCTGCTAAAGAGCGCAACATTCCAGAAGGCCGCGACCAGGTCTCACGTCCTCAGCTACCACAGCAGCTGCCGTTCAGTGCATCCGCAGGCTTTAAATACCCCGCGGTGCCTGCCAAACCCAAACTGAGCTCTGCTCCTTCTCCACAAGGCTCTCCTGTTCATAAAACCCTCAATTATCCACGGTCACAATATAACAGTGCCACGCTTGACCGTCACACTTCTAGCGTGACCAAGAAGCGCACACAGAGTCTGTCCCGGTATGCTTTGTCGGACGGTGAACCAGATGAAGATGATGATGATGAAGCAGCTCAGCTGGCCAGTATGGCCATGCCTTCGTATGCCACACTGAGCCGCAAGCCTACCCGTGGCCAGCTGGCACGTCTTCAGTCCGCCCACGAGCAGTCCGCCAGCCGAAGCCACTCTTTCGCCATCAGGGCTCGGCGTAAAGGGCCTCCTCCTCCACCGCCTAAACGCCTTAGCTCCGTCAGCAGCAGCAGCACTAGTGTTGAAACTGTCTCTGACACTCCAGTATCACCTTCTGGAGGAGTTGAGAATGGCAGACCTGGGACCGTGAAGAGCATCGCAGCTGCATTAGAAACAGTCCTACCTGCGCCTACGGTGGAGCTCCTTCAGGAAACCCCTACAGCTGTTTCCAGTACCAACGAAGGGTCCAGGCGTAGACCTCTGAGTCAGACCGAATCCACCCCAGTGTTCGCCAAAGCAGATACCGATAGAGCGGTAAAGTCCGACTCGGAAGAGGAGGATGGGAGGAAGGATTCAGGCCTGGAGAGCTCATCCTCGCCTCAGAACAGCTCCAGCGAGTGCATCCCCTTTGCGGAGGAAGGCAACCTCACTATCAAACAGAGGCCCAAAGTTGGCGGGCCTCTCAAGGCAGAGACCACTTCTGAGTCGCCAGAGAAGGCCAAACCGGCCAAAACCCCTGAAGTTCCAGAGTTCAACCTTAAAGAGTCAGACACAGTAAAGAGACGGCAGAAGCCAAAAGAGAAAGAGCAGTCAAACACAGCGTCTGACAGCAGCCCAGATGGCACATTAGTTTTAGAGACTCAGGACACGGTGAAACTCCGCATCAGTGAAACAGATATGAGTCTGCCATGTGTGGAGCTTCCAGCCAAACCAGTGAAAGCACCTCCTCCTCTTGCTCCCAAACCTCCCAGTCCCCTGAATTCAACACGGCACGCCTCTAAACCAGATCCTGCTCCTGTAACAGGTACAGCCTACAAATATACAGCCTATTAATAAACTTAGTTAGCTTTTTATTCAGGTTTGATGCAATGTATTTCAGTGCCCAGTTGCATGAAAGCCCTTAAGCTAATTCCCTTAGTTATAAGGTTAAAGGAACATTTAGTGAAACTTGGGTTGCAAGAAAAACATAGTAGTTTTTGACTTATTCATTTCAGCAGGTAAACAGCCTTTGGGAGGTTTGGTGCTTGTACCATATTTTTTCTTAATGACGTTGCAGATTTGCAGGTTAAAATACATGACTGACTTTTTTTTGTATGAAAGTGTGGTTTTAAAGGGAACATGTTAAAATGAAAACAGTAACACTGCCTTATGTGACTAGAGCAGCACCGATGTACAGAAAGCGATTCAGGTTTAAGTTACCACAAAATATTTTTGAAGTCTTTAAACTTTTATTAGTCCAAATAGTATTTAAACTTTATCAAAATATGTATATTGTACACTAAAGGTATATTTGATTGGGAAGCAAATCTGTTTGTTGTACCCAAGTTTATGTATATTTTTATTCAAATGTTGGATAATGTTAACGCTAACAGACTCGCAGCTAAACTAATGAAATTTAACCCAGTGGCATTTCCCCTTTGCATATAATTTGATATGATGCATCTGATGTGGAATATATCCACACTGTTCTTGTGTGCCATACGTTTAAATAGATGTTTCTTTTGTACAGAAAGCGATTCAGGTTTAAGTTACCACAAAATATTTTTGAAGTCTTTAAACTTTTATTAGTCCAAATAGTATTTAAACTTTATCAAAATATGTATATTGTACACTAAAGGTATATTTGATTGGGAAGCAAACCTGTTTGTTGTACCAAAGTTTATGTATATTTTTATTCAAATGTTGGATAATGTTAACGCTAACAGCAGCTAAACTAATGAAATTTAACCCAGTGGCATTTCCCCTTTGCATATAATTTGATATGATGCATCTGATGTGGAATATATCCACACTGTTCTTGTGTGCCAAACGTTTAAATAGATGTTTCTTCCAGGTTCTGTCTCCCAGTGAACTGAAATGTAATCAATGGCATTTGTTTAACTAAGGCCGTTTTAACATTTAACAATTTTAGAACTGCAATTAAGGCCCATTCACACCAAGGACTATAACTGTAACTATAAAGTTTTAATAATAACTTTAATCGCCCTCTGCAATGCGCACTGATAGTAAACAGAACGTTATAACCCACTAGTGTGGATGTCAATATAGTCATTACAGTTCCTTCATGGGAACTTTGAAGTGCGTCCTCTAGGGGTCACTATGGGAAACCTAGAGGACGCGGTGTCTCGTTCTCTACTCAGGGAACCATGGTTACATAAGTAACCGGAGACGTTCCCTTTCATGGGAACTTCGAACTGCGTCCTCTAGGTTTCCCATAGCGACCCCTAGAGGACACAGTGTCTCGTTCCCTACTCAGGGAACCATGGTTACATAAGTAAAATGAGACGTTATCATTCTTGGTATGAACGGGCCTTTGCTTATGTGAATACTATATATTAGTGATGTTCTTAATTAGGTAATATGAAACACTGATATGATTGTTCAGTATCAAGTCCCTCTTTGTTCTAATTTAACATTTTCTATTAAATGAATTTAGCTATTGTGTCTTTTTTTATTATTACTGGGCAATGTGACTGTCATTTCAGCACTTACAGTGCAATGCAAAAGAGAATCCTCTTCTGTCTGATTTGTCCAGATTGTCCGGACTAGGGTTGCACCAATTGTTAGTAAGTACTTAAATTGGAATATAAAGTCCACACTAGACCTAACTACTTGTAACTATGCAGATGATGTGTTACTTTTCATCTGTTGTTCCATTATTAAATCTAATAATGTGTTTGGGCCCTTCTCAGGTTATAAGGTAAACTAGGAAAAATGTGAATTAATGCCCCTCTCCTGACAAGCAAGCAAAGAGTTCCTAGTCTCCACTTTATTCAAAATAGTTTTAGAAAGTAAACAGTCACCAGTAAGTAGGAAACATCTCAGTAACAACAGGAGGGAAGGAGGATACAGCCTTCCTTAGTTTGAGCCATATTATTTAGCAGCTCACTTTTTTTTTCATTCCGGAGGATTTTGTTTTCCATATATTCAAGACATGCCTGTTTGGCTTCATATCCTTCTTCATGTAAGCATACTTCACTTTCAGTAATTCTCCATAACCCGGTGAAAAGGAATAAAGCATTATATAATTATAACCCAGTGATTCATAACTCGTTGAGAACATAAAGGCTAGTGAAGAATATAAAATAATACCCTGAATCTGTATCTAGAAAGTCTGATTTGTTGGAACTATGCGATCAGCTAGATGCTATGCTGGATTAAAGATTCTCATGGATGGAGCTGTTTATTTTTTTGATGACCCAGAAACAGGAGGGTAGAGATCTACGTATAGCAGCATGGTTTCTTCTGCCTTATAATTCAGATGGAAAACAGAGATGAACTCTTGAACACAAAAGTGGGAATCTCCATTGATCTTTATTTACATGGACCACACAGACATTTATGGACCACAGTCTTCTGACTAATGTCAGTCTAGATGTCATCTGTATTTGTTTGTTTGTTTGTTTATTCTTATTCCAGCATCTAATCAACCAGCATATATATTCGTTTTCCTGTAATTGTGTTTCGGGGATGATTTGTGGACTTGACCAAGCGTGACCCCAATGAACTTTACATGATGGACCCAGATGGAAGAAATGCACTTAGGAGAATCATTCCTAAAGCAATATACATTTCAAAACACTATACTGATTCAAAACATTTCTAGAAAGATTAATGGGATAGTTCACCCAAAAAGTGACAATTCTGTCATGATTTACTCACCCTGCCTTGCTGTGAGACTTTTGAATAAACTTTATGCTGCTCTTTTCCATACAGCAATAAGTTATAGTGACCTGCTGTCAAAACAAAATAACACATGATGACAATTTTCATTTTTTGAGTGAACTGTTCCTTCAACATATTTTCAATTTTCAAATTTTCAAAGCATTTTAGCTCTAAACAAGTAGCTTGTGATTTATCCATTTCAGCAGGTAAACAGCCTTTGGGAGGTTTGGTGCTTGTACCATATTTTTTCTTAATGACGTTGCAGATTTGCAGGTTAAAATACATGACTGACTTTTTTTTGTATGAAAGTGTGGTTTTAAAGGGAACATGTTAAAATGAAAACAGTAACACTGCCTTATGTGACTAGAGCAGCACCGATGTACAGAAAGCGATTCAGGTTTAAGTTACCACAAAATATTTTTGAAGTCTTTAAACTTTTATTAGTCCAAATAGTATTTAAACTTTATCAAAATATGTATATTGTACACTAAAGGTATATTTGATTGGGAAGCAAACCTGTTTGTTGTACCAAAGTTTATGTATATTTTTATTCAAATGTTGGATAATGTTAACGCTAACAGCAGCTAAACTAATGAAATTTAACCCAGTGGCATTTCCCCTTTGCATATAATTTGATATGATGCATCTGATGTGGAATATATCCACACTGTTCTTGTGTGCCATACGTTTAAATAGATGTTTCTTTCAGGTTCTGTCTCCCAGTGAACTGAAATGTAATCAATGGCATTTGTTTAACTAAGGCCGTTTTAACATTTAACAATTTTAGAACTGCAATTAAGGCCCATTCACACCAAGGACTATAACTGTAACTATAAAGTTTTAATAATAACTTTAATCGCCCTCTGCAATGCGCACTGATAGTAAACAGAACGTTATAACCCACTAGTGTGGATGTCAATATAGTCATTACAGTTCCTTCATGGGAACTTTGAAGTGCGTCCTCTAGGGGTCACTATGGGAAACCTAGAGGACGCGGTGTCTCGTTCTCTACTCAGGGAACCATGGTTACATAAGTAAAATGAGACGTTATCATTCTTGGTATGAACGGGCCTTTGCTTATGTGAATACTATATATTAGTGATGTTCTTAATTAGGTAATATGAAACACTGATATGATTGTTCAGTATCAAGTCCCTCTTTGTTCTAATTTAACATTTTCTATTAAATGAATTTAGCTATTGTGTCTTTTTTTATTATTACTGGGCAATGTGACTGTCATTTCAGCACTTACAGTGCAATGCAAAAGAGAATCCTCTTCTGTCTGATTTGTCCAGATTGTCCGGACTAGGGTTGCACCAATTGTTAGTAAGTACTTAAATTGGAATATAAAGTCCACACTAGACCTAACTACTTGTAACTATGCAGATGATGTGTTACTTTTCATCTGTTGTTCCATTATTAAATCTAATAATGTGTTTGGGCCCTTCTCAGGTTACAAGGTAAACTAGGAAAAATGTGAATTAATGCCCCTCTCCTGACAAGCAAGCAAAGAGTTCCTAGTCTCCACTTTATTCAAAATAGTTTTAGAAAGTAAACAGTCACCAGTAAGTAGGAAACATCTCAGTAACAACAGGAGGGAAGGAGGATACAGCCTTCCTTAGTTTGAGCCATATTATTTAGCAGCTCACTTTTTTTTTCATTCCGGAGGATTTTGTTTTCCATATATTCAAGACATGCCTGTTTGGCTTCATATCCTTCTTCATGTAAGCATACTTCACTTTCAGTAATTCTCCATAACCCGGTGAAAAGGAATAAAGCATTATATAATTATAACCCAGTGATTCATAACTCGTTGAGAACATAAAGGCTAGTGAAGAATATAAAATAATACCCTGAATCTGTATCTAGAAAGTCTGATTTGTTGGAACTATGCTTTTCAACACATTTTTTTCAAATTGGAAAGAGATGAAAGATTTATACAAGGTCTGTCCCGAAAGTATCCAGCCATATATGAAAAACGATGCAATGATGCCCCAGTCCCCTTCAAAGTAGACTTGGGACCTCACACGGTTCTCCCAGCATCTCTTCCACTGCTCAAAACACTCTGCAAAATCCTTTGTTGGAATCGGCATCAGCTGCCTCGTCGTATTTTCCTGAATCTCATCTACGGTCTGAAATGTCTTCCCTTTCTAAGGTGATTTTAGTTT